TTAGCTATGGTAAAATGCACAGGAAACAAAATAAAAAGAGGAAGTGATTTTTAGTTATTCATTTCCAAGGATAGGCTTTTGTAATCTATAAGGCAATCTAAACTATCACCTTCTCATTCCTTAATTAGAGCTGAGAAGTGGAAAGAGGAACCACACTCGATCGCCGGAATCTCAGATCTTCAAGCCGGACAGTGTTGATTTCCTATCACCATGGCCACTTCAGGACTTAACCATGGCAGAGGTGATTTATAAATTTTTGTTGAATTATTGAAAAGTTATGCATGTTTTATTCACTCATATGTACCCAAAGCCAAGCACATAGTATATGGCTGGTAAATATCGATATTTGTTGACTGAATGAATACCTAACCCCAACGCAAACCATGACAAAGTTGGTCCTCTGCATTCTTCTACCAGAGGTTCAGTGACCGGTTCCTCTGTTTCAATATCCCCTTCCTCCCTCGTGGTATCATTTGAGGAAGAGCTTAGTACGGCACTTACTTGCTCAGGCTCTAGAAACAGACAAGCCTATTTTTAAAAAACAGAAACTTAGTTTTACTACCTACTAGGTGAACAATTAACTTGACCTCTAGCCTCACTATCTTTACTGGTAAAGGAATAATAGTACCTACCCTGGAGAGTTGCTGTGAGGCTTGAATCAAACACAGCACAGAAAGCATGTAGCCCAGTACCTGGTAGATGGTAAGCACTGAGTAAAGCGTATATATCACATATAGTTTTTTAACTGCAACCCTGTTTAAACTTTGTATTTCTCCAAATATTAGCCTACCCACCACCACCAAAAAAAAAAAAAAAAAAAAAAAGTGGTTTCCAACCTGGGTTTTGCTGATCCCTCAGAGGTTCTGTAACTGTTTGATATCAGTTTCACTTTGCTAAAGATACACCTTGGGAAGGAGGAAGATACTGAGAAGGTGGGAGTCAGGATCCCCATTCATTTCCAACAAGAGCAGTTTCACTTTGATTTCTTTTATAAATTGGAGTTATTTGAAGATTTAAAAAAAATCCCCCTGCTAAAGTCAAAGTTTGAAACCATGATCCTACACGACATTGCTTCTGCTCATCTGTTTTAGTAGAGATGTAAAGAGATCTAGGTCTACTCCTTGCCAGTAACTGGCTGGGGTACCTTGGGCAAATCCCTCATCTTCTCTGCTGTAAGCTCCCTATTCCACAAAATGTGTAGTTTGGAAAGAAAACGTGTAAGGTTCATGTTTTCCTATTAGTTTTATTTCTAGAGATCAACAAAACTCCTACAGAAAAGTTGTTTTGAATAGCTTGTTGAATTAAAATTTTCTCACCATTTACCTCCAATAACCTGGTACACAAGTAAACATATGTTGACTGTTAAACAAATGAATGAATGATTTAGTTGTTCATTAAAATGGTGATGGACCCTCATGGGTCCCTGCTTTGCTTAAAGGAGCTATGATGGGGTATGACAGGTCTTTTCTACCTGCTGAGGGCCCGGGGAAGATGACAAGAGCATGAATCAGACGAGTTAGCTCCAAGTGACTAGGAGAAGGAGCTCCGGGTATGCTGCTCTTCTTATCTCCTAATAGATTGTGAATCCAATTAATCAATCAGTCCTGCCATTCACATCTCCCAGGCTTATGTCAAATCCATCTCTATTCTCCTTTGCTAACACAGTAGACCAAGCCACCATCCTCTACTCTCGCCCTACAACAGCCTCCTTAGGGTCTCCCCACTTCCACTCTTGTTACCTCCAGTCTCTTCTAATTAGGTGCTCATTCTCTGTCACTGGAACTTGCATGTTTCTTTCAGGGCACTAGCACACATTTGGTTTATTTTCTGTTTCTCTCACTAGACCGTGAACCCCACGAGGACAGAGACCTTTCTTACTCATCCCATCTTATTCAGCCCATCTCCACTCCTCACCTAGTGCTTAGCACATACCAGCCTTTCCATAGATAATCAATGAATGAATGCGTGGGAATTCTCAAAGGCTCAGAGACCCTGTCTTAATTCACCTTTGTGCTATCGGCACGCAGGGCAATGCCCGGTGCAAAGCAGGCATTCCCTACATACTTGTTCCACGTGTGGGTCAACTGATGAAGGGATGACTCCTTTCCAGGTTTTAGACGACAAAACCGTATTTGAATCTTCACTCTGCCAGCTGTGTGACTTTGAGCCTGGCCTTCATTAACTGCCGAATGAGCTAACAGTTATTTCGCGGGGTTGCTCCAGGATAAGCTCAGGCTGGTGAAGGGCCCTGCACAATGTCTGACACGGTGTGTACTCAACGCATCACCACTACCAGTGGGGTAAGGTGCAGGGAAGAAATCTAGAAGAATCTAGAAGAGAAGAGGGAGGGGCGGGGCGAGAAGCTCCTTGCCGATACTGCGTTCTACGGCCGCGCGCTGGCTGGCCCTCCCGGCTCGCCGTCCGCCCCTCCCCCTCCCGCCGCCGTCACCCGGGAAACGGGACGCTATCGCCAGCCCGCCGACCTAAGCGAGTTTCATGGCAGCCACGAAGAAAGCAGTTTTGGGGCAGTTGGTGGGAGCGGTGGACCAGAGCACAAGCTCGACGCGCTTTTTGGTTTTCAATCCCAAAACAGCCGAACTACTTAGTTATCATCAAGTGGAAATAAAACAAGAGTTTCCAAAAGAAGGATGGGTAGAACAAGACCCTAAGGAAATCCTGCAGTCCGTCTGTGAGTGTATAGAGAAAACGTGTGAGAAACTTGGACAGCTCAATACTTCTAACATAAAAGCTATTGGTATCAGTAACCAGAGGGAGACCACTGTGGTCTGGGACAAGTTAACTGGAGAACCTCTTTACAATGCTGTGGTGTGGCTTGATCTAAGAACCCAATCTACCGTTGAGAGTCTTCGTAAAAGCATTCCAGTAAATAATAACTTTGTCAAGACCAAGACAGGCCTTCCACTTAGCACCTACTTCAGTGCAGTGAAACTTCGTTGGCTCCTTGCCAACGTGAGAAAAGTTCAAAAGGCAGTTGAAGAAGATAGAGCCCTTTTTGGGACCATTGATTCATGGCTTATTTGGAGCTTGACAGGAGGAGCCAGTGGAGGCGTCCATTGTACGGATGTAACAAATGCAAGCAGGACGATGCTTTTCAACATTCATTCTTTGGAATGGGATAAAGAGCTCTGTGAATTTTTTCAAGTTCCAATGAAAATTCTTCCAAATGTCCGGAGTTCTTCTGAGATCTATGGCCTAATGAAAGCTGGGGCCTTGGAAGGTGTGCCAATATCTGGGTGTTTGGGGGACCAATCTGCTGCATTGGTGGGACAACAGTGCTTCCAGGATGGACAAGCCAAAAACACGTATGGAACAGGCTGTTTCTTACTATGTAATACAGGCCATAAGTGTATATTTTCTGAACATGGCCTTCTGACCACAGTGGCTTACAAACTCGGAAGAGACAAACCAGTACATTATGCATTAGAAGGTTCGGTAGCTATAGCCGGTGCTGCTGTTCGCTGGCTCAGAGACAATCTTGGAATTATAAAGACCTCAGAGGAAATTGAAAAACTTGCTAAAGAAGTAGGTTCCTCTTGTGGCTGCTGTTTTGTCCCAGCCTTTTCAGGGCTATATGCACCTTATTGGGAGCCCAGTGCAAGAGGGATCATCTGTGGGCTCACCCAATTCACCAATAAATGCCATATTGCTTTTGCTTCATTAGAAGCTGTTTGTTTCCAAACCCGAGAGGTTTTGGATGCCATGAACCGGGACTGTGGAATTGCACTCAGCCATTTGCAGGTAGACGGAGGAATGAGCAACAACAAAATTCTTATGCAGCTACAAGCAGACATTCTGTATATCCCAGTAGTGAAGCCCTTGATGCCTGAAACAACTGCCCTGGGAGCTGCCATGGCAGCCGGGGCTGCAGAAGGGGTTGGCGTTTGGAGTCTCGAGCCTGAGGATTTGTCAGCTGTCACGATGGAGCGGTTTGAACCTCAGATCAACGCCAAGGAAAGTGAAATTCGTTATTCTACATGGAAGAAAGCTGTGATGAAGTCCATGGGTTGGGTTAGCACTCAGTCTTCGGAAAATGGTGACCCTAGCATCTTCAGTAGTTTACCCTTGGGCTTTTTTATAGTGAGTAGCATGGTAATGTTAATCGGAGCAAGGTACCTCTCAGGTGTGCCATAAATAATACCAAGTCATGGATTCCAAAGATGTGAGCTCTTTACCTAACAAGAAAATTCAGTGGTTCTGTCTTTTAATGTGCTGACACTATTCATAGACTCTGATTTTATTTGTAAGCCACTTGCTGCATGACCCTCCAAGTAGACCTGTGGCTTGAAATAAAGAAAATGCGGCACACACAAAACAGTGATTTCTCAATTAGGAACCAAAAAAAAACAACCGCAAGTTTTGCATACAAAAAGTCACAAACAACTCCCCTGAACTACCCAGTGGTTGTTATTTTTAATCTAACTTTCTATTAAAACGTTGAAGGAGAAAGGGGCATGGTGGGGGGATGGGTAGTCAACTCTGTTGTTTTGCCCTCTTCCAGATCCCTTCTAGCAATGACTTGACAGCTACCTGCCACTTGGTGTTGGTCAACTATACAGGAAGATTTACAAAGAAAATGTAGTGGGCGCTCACAGCATGAGGCACAATTTAGAATCCATCCATTTATTTAACACATAATTGAAACCCTTCACTGGCAAATCTTAGGGTAAAGACTTGAACCCTAAACACAGCCTGCAAGGATCTGGTCCTTGGCTACCATTTTTGACTCATTTCACTCCATTCTCCTCCTTGTTCCCTGAGCTCCCACTATTTTGGTCTTCTTTGACTTTCAGCCACAGGACCTTTGCACATGTGCTTCCCTTTGCTTGAATTAGATTCACCGTTATAATTAAAGTCAAGGTCACTTCTTCCGAGACTGACCTTCCAGTCTAAGTCCTAGAACCTTCTCATTCACTCATAGTAGCATTTTACTTTGCAATTACACACCCAACTGTGGTTATTTTCCTTATGCTCCGCCCCCCCCATAATTTGTACCCTCTGGGAATCGATGAATGACTTGGTTACTGAGTGTATCCCCAGCGCCCAGAATGGTTCCCGGCACGTGGGAGGTATTCAATAAATGTCCTTTGAATGAATAAGCGAAAGTTTTCCAAGATTCGTATAGGAATCTGAGACACAAAGATGAGGAGGCCCCAGAGTTTGGGGGTGGTGTGGGGAACACAGACCAACAAACAGATGGGTACCAAGCTCCAGAGAACCTAACTCCTGCGCCTTCCTCCAGCTGGTGGGAGATCCTAACCCTTTCCCAGCTGCAGACACCCTCGGAGGAAGAGGTGGGTTTAAAGGCGCATGCTGAAGCCTCGCGCACAGTAATCCACCAGTTGAATCAACCAGCCCGGTGGAGATCCCAGGTCTTGGGCGAAGTTGCAGAAGCCCGCGTCGCCGAGCTCTGGCAGGGTGCCAGGTGACCCCTCTCGTCCACCCTTGTGCCCAATGCGGCGCGCCAGCCAATGCGCCCCGGACGCCGCAGCTGCTCCCGAGCCCGGGCGCGTGATTGGCAGCCTCCAGCCTCAGCCCCGGCGCGCCCTCCCACCCAAGACTAAGTCCAGTCCGCGCCCACTCCGGGGCGGTCGCCGCCTCCTCTGCGCCGGGGTGCTGGGCGCTGGGCCGGCAGGCAGCGCACACCCGGCAGGCGCCGCGGAGCAGCGAGGTCCCAGGCGGCAGCGCTCGGCGCAGTCCTCGCTCCGGCCGGGCCATGAAGGTCGAGTTTGCGCCGCTCAACATCCCGCTGGCGCGGCGGCTGCAGACGGCGGCGGTGCTGCAGTGGGTCCTGTCCTTCCTTCTGCTCGGTAAGGACTCCCGGCCACGCAAGATCCGGGCGAAACACCGCGGTGCCTGGGGCTCCGTCTCCCCCCTCCCGGACATCACTAATTCCCTTGTAAGCCAGAGCAGGCAGGTCACAGAGGGCATTTGTAGCTAATTTAGGACTCCCCTCTTTGATTCATCTTTCCACGTGAACCTTGTAGCAAGCCACTGATTGGCAACTTTATTTTCCCCTGTGCTGTTTTTAAAACTCGAGGTGTACTTTACCCACAGTAAAAGGCACAGATTTTAACTCGATGAGTTTTGACAAATGTATACAGCCAAGTGTAACCACGACCCAATCGAGCTATAGGACGTTGCACTTAAGCCCCTCAAAAGTCGATAAACTCGTTTCTTGAATTATCGATTCATAAATGGAAAAACAATGCCCAAGGATTTGAAACCTGATTCCTTCCTTATCCTCCCCCCCTCATAACAAATATCTGCGTTAGCTTTCCCGTGTTGAAGATTTTCCGGATGCAGAAAGCTACCTTGCTGCAAAGAAGACTGCACCACACGTTAGGTTGGGTTGGATGGCCTCTCTCTGTAAATAATTCGACCCAGGAGAGTGTGTTCTAGCCAGTTGCCAAATTAAGCCCAGGTAGAAATGTGCAGGAGCCAGTCACTAGATGGGGCAGGGGGCTTATCTGGAAGCTTTTTCTCTGGATGTTTGTTCTGCCCTTGAGGGGGGTGGGGGCATGGGGAGGGTCAGGGGAAAGGAGGGGGTGTAAGAGGACAGGAATTACTGGGAACTTAAACTCTTCAGAAGGCCCAAGTCATTTGTGTGCTATAAGTTCATGGGTGGTACACTGTCCAGGCCACAGTAATAATAAATTCATTACACTGTAGAGGTTTACAATTTTGAAACCATTTTACATTTTGAATGCCTGGATCAGTGGTTCTCAACCCTGGCTGCACATTAAGGTCACTGGAGGAATTTCTAAAAAATAAGATACCCAGGCTCTATCCCTAGAATTTTGAATTCATTTGTTTCAGAAAGGAACCTGCACATCAGGATTTTTTTTTTTTAATAAACTCTCCAAGTACAGCTAGAGTTTACTGAAAAAGGAAATTCAAATAATTAACTCATTAAGTCCTCCTAGGCCAAACTGTTGAGACAGCATTACACTTTGTTTTGCTCTAGGCCAAAGTACCATTGAGGTAACAGCTACACTTATCGCGGGCCTTGTGTGTGTCAGGTACTGTTCTGCCAGCTACAGCTTGGCATTTGCCATCTACCTCTACAGTTCTAAGCACCATACACTATTAACCATGTAATCTTCACAACAGCCCTGTGGGGTAAGGACTGTGTCTTCCTGTGCTCATTGTACCGCTGAGGGAACTAAGAGGTGAAGTGAACTGTTCAAGGTCACACAGTTAGTAGGAGGTGGAGGGGCTGGGTGCAAACCCAAATATTCTACCCAGAGTTCCTGCTTTAACCACTGTGCTGTCCAATTTAATGCCTTGAAACTGGAGACTGACTTTCTTGCTCATCAGCCAGCACATCTCTGATAGCCCACTGTCTTTTCCTTCCATGGCCCTTATCATTGCTTGTATTTGTGTGTGTCTGTGGTTACTTGAGAAAGGTCTCTATGGCCATTTGTAGGAGAGCAGAATTTGCCAGCCCCAAGTATGTTTCTTTGGTATATTAATTATTTTAAGCTGGTTATTTTCTAAGAAGCAGCAGACATGGGAAAAACTCTGAAAACCTAGTGGGAGTTACCCTTTTGTAAGAAACATTTACATTTATAAGGGAAATCTCCATTTGTAAGGGTGTCTCACTTGCTGTACCAGGAAGAGGATGATGACCAAATCTCTAAAAACCTACCAATGAAGAAGGCAGGGACTTAAATTTGCATAAAACCTTACCCTTCCTTACTGTGCTTTTCCTCATAACCTCCCATAACCGACTCAACCCACCTTCAATATCCTTTTTTGTCTTTAGCTGAGGATGGTATTTTTTTTTTTTTTTTGCGGTACGCGGGCCTCTCCCATTGCGGAGCACAGGCTCCAGACGCGCAGGCTCAGCGGCCATGGGTCACAGGCCCAGCCGCTCCGCGGCATGTGGGATCTTCCCGGACCGGGGCATGAACCGGCGTCCCCCGCATCGGCAGGCAGACCCCCAACCACTGCGCCACCAGGGAAGCCCTGAGGATGGTATTTAAGGGGAGGGTTTTGGCCGTTTTGGCAAGTTACTCAGTTTTCCTGGGTCTCCCCCAGGCATACATATTATTAAAATTTTGTTTGATTTCCTCCCATTAATCTGTCTCACGTCAATTTAATTCTTAGATCAGCCAGAGGAACGTAGGAGGGTAGAGGAAAATTTCTTCCTCCCTGATACATCCTAGTTCACAGGCTCAGTGAGGGAGTACCCAGCCCGTGCCTGGCTCATGGAAGGCACACAATAAGTACTGGTTGAATGTCTTCACTCTGTCACCCAAAAGGGAAGTGGTCCACCCCACATGTCACTATTTGTATCAACTCATGTATGTAAATCCCCACAGTGACCCTGGAGGTAGGGGCTAACCCCTGTACTCATTTTCCAAAGATAGAGCTTGGAGGTGTAGTAACTGCTCAAGGTCACAAGGTGGGTGGTAGAGCCTTATGTGTCACATGTGAATGGACTAATGACTTTAGACATGGCCCACCAGTCCTAATTTGAATCAAACTACAGTTGCTTGACAGACAATTCATTTAAATGCTCTTATTGCATGCATTTGACATTCATGTTACTAGGAGCATATTATTTTGTATTATCATATATTTTGGAAATTTTATTATGAAAAGTTCCAAACGTACAGAAAAGTAGAGAAGGGTATAAACTCCCATATACCCATTACTTGGATTTATAATTATTTTAACAATTTGCTATATTAGTTTTACCTATTTTGCAAAAATATTTTAAAGCAAATCACATTGCATTTTAATCCCAAGTACTTTAGTATGCCTATTATAAAATTATTTTACAAAATTATAGTAACATTGTCCCATGTAGCATAATTAACATTAATTGCTTAAAATCATCTAAACCAAGTCAATATTCATATTTCCTAAAATTGAGCCCCAAATACACTTTTATGTGTGACTTACTTGAATCAGGATCCAAAAAAGCCCCCTGGGTTGCATTTAGTTTTTAATTTAGAACAGTTTTTCCCCCCATTTGTTTTCTTGTCAATGAAGCATTGAAGAAGCCAGGTTATCTATCCTGCAAGATGTGTCTTCAGAAGTTCTCTGATTGCTATTTTGTAGGGTTAACATGTTCCTCAATTCCCTGTATTTCTTCTAAAATGGAAGTTGGAGCTAAAGGTTTGATTAGATTTAGGTGAAACCTTTTTGCAAGTCCTTTGCTGAGGTGCTGCCGTGTGCTCATGTTGCATTATGTCAGAATGCACATAGTGCCTAGCTGTCCCTTATGAGAGTGGTCAATGGGTACAGGTAGGAAGTAATGTGAGGGGTGGTAATTGACATGCTGCAAATAAAAGTTCCCTATTGACTGTTGACCTTTCACCTAGTCTCCATTAATGATCCTTGACCAAATTAACTGTTTTATTTGGGACTACAAAATGGTAATTTTCATATTCTATCATTCATTCTTCACATATTAACTAGAATTTATGCCAGGAATAATTTTTCCTCATCATCTAGGGCCATTGGTTACCCTGCAATTCAATTCTTATGGTAAAGGCCGTATAAACGCTTACCTATTTCTTTCCATTTTAATTATTTTAAAGTAAGGAGTTCGTGTAGTATCTCCTTCCAATGGTGATAAGAGAAGTTTTATTAACTATGTATTTTAAAGTCTCTAAATCAAAATCTTGGAATGCATTTTTCTTTCCACCATCAGGAAATGAGTTTAAGCTATTAGCACTTGGGATATATTTTTTTTTTAAAAAAAAGCAAAATGTTTCATTTAGTCATGAAATCAAATACTGTTTCCTTGAGATAAATGTTAAGTGCCTGTCTTCCAATCTTATAACATTGTATTATTTTTAGGTGTGCAACATAATAATTTGATATATGTCTATTGCAAAATGATTTCCACAGTAAGTTTAGTTAAAATCCATTACCACACATTTTTTTTCTCTTATGTTGAGATCTTTAAGATTTACTCTCAGCAACTTTCAAATATGCAATACAGTATTGTTAACTGTAGTCCCCATGCTGTACATTACATGCCCAGGACTTATTTATCTTATAAGTGAAAGTTTTTACGTTTTGATCAATTTTACTCATTTTACCTCCCCCGGCCCCCCGCATACCTCCACCTTTGGCAACCACCAATCTGTTCTCTGTATCTATGAGCTTGTTCTTTTGTTTTGTTTGTTTGTCCACACATGTAAGATTATGTATTTGTCCTTCTCTGCCCTACTGATTCCACTTAGCATAAAGGTCTATCCATGTTGTCACTAATGGCAGGATTTCCTTTCCATGGCTGAATAATATTCTATTTCATATATGTAGTATATATCACATTTTCTGTATTCATTCGTCTGTTGATGGACACTAGTTGTTTCCACGTCTTGACTATTGTAAATAATGCTGCCGTGAACATGACGGGGTGCAGATATCTTTTCCAGATAGTGATTTCATTTCCTTCAATAAATGCTGGGAGGTGGAATTGCTGGATCACCTATCTTCCAATCTTAATATTCAAGAAACTGAAACATTACTTACTAGCTTGTGTGCTACCAACCTGCTAACTGAAAAGTGGAAAACTGAAAAAGAGAGAGCCAACATTTATTGACCATCTTCTATCTACAACTCCTTGTGGCAGGGATTATTAGATTTATTTTTTTTAGGTGAGAAAACTGAAGCTCAAGAGGTATGTATCTTACCTAAGACCATGTGGTGAGACTGTGATCTTTTACTGAATGGGTCTATTTATTTACTTATTTATTTAAGCAGCCTTATTGTGACACTGTCAAACAGTTAACTGCACATATTTATTTTATTTTATTTTTTGACTCTGCCGTGCAGCTTGTGGGAT